ACTGGGAGTCAGAACCCCCTGCCAGGCCATGGAGTCCACTGGGTCGGAAGGGACATTGAAGATGGTTGAGGCACAGAATCACAGACTCTCCTAGGTTGGAAGGGAGCTTAAAGATCATCGTGTCCAACCGTCAACCTAATTTTGACAGAAATAGACACCCACCCAACAAACAAAAAGCGACACCACCATTAGCGCAACCCTGCCAAATCCACCACTACCCCGCGTCCCTCAGCACCACCTCTGCCCGTCACAGCATCACTGAACCACTGAATCGCCGAGGTTGGAAGGGACCTTTCAGATCATCTAGTCCAACCATCAACCTAACTCTAATTAAAAAAAAACAACAAAAAACCCCCAAAACAAAACACTAAAACATATTCCTGAGCACTAGGGCAACCCGGCTTTTCAATCCCTCCAGGGATGGGGCCTCAACCCCTTCCCTAGGTACCCCATTACCAATGTGCAACAACCCTTTCTGTGGAAACATTTTCCCTAATCTCCAATCTGAACCTCCCCTGGAACAAATTGAGGCCATTTCCTCTTGTCTCATCATCTGAGACTTGGGAGTAGAAACCAACCTCCCTTCGGGTCATTGTAGAGAGCGATATGGTCTCCCCTCAGCCTCCGTTTCTCCAGACTGAACAACCCCAGCTCCCTCAGCCTCTCCTCATAAGATTTATTCTCCAGACCCACCCTGGCTGGTGAGCCAGCTTTGTTGCCCATCCTTTAAATACCTCCAGGGATGGCGATTCCACCCCTTCCCTGGTGTTAGGTCCTGGTCCTGTTGTTGGTCCACGAGGGGTTCATAATGATTACGAGTTCTCACACCTGGGCAGCATGTCCCAATGATTGATAACCCTTTTGGCGAACAAATTTTCCCTAATATCCAATATAAACCTGCCCTTGAAGGGAAGGTCTTGAGGCCGCAACTTGAAGCTGTTTCCTATCACAGAATCAGGGAATTGTGGGAGTTGGAAGGGACCTCTAGAGCCCATCCAGTCCAACTCCCCTGCCAAAGCAGGGCTGCCCAGAGCACATCACTCAGGAGCATCCAGGTGGGGCTTGAAGATCTCCAGAGAAGGGGACTCCACACCCTCCCTGGGCAGCCTCTTCCAGGGCTCTGCCACCCTCACCCCAAAGAAGTTCTTCCTCACATTGGAGTGGAACTTCCCATGGTCCAGCCATTTTAGATTGAGCCTCCAAAGGTACAAGTTTGTGGTGGCATCTACTGCTTGACGCACACCAGTACTGCCACTGGTGTTTGCAGCACCCTGTCAGGGAAGCTTTGCAAATGACGGAGGAAAAAATGAGCCGACAAGCACCCAGTAAAACACCACCATCCAAGAGGACCCACCATCCCAGTTGGCCAGTTATCATCTTCTCCTCTCCCTCTGATCTTGCATGCACTTGGCGAGGAGGAATTTAAGATTTCTTTTCCATTCTTCCAACTGGTTTTGGTGAAGAAGCATGAAAAAAGCTAAGTATCTACGTGAAGCATCAAGCCCCAAGTAAGGTGAAGTTAAGTAATGCCACATTTTTGAAAAGCCGTGAATTTTATGGCAGCAGGTTTGGGGCAACTGGTTGGAAATGCAGGGCACACCTAGGAATATAATTTATTTAAGAAACGATAGGATTTAAGAAATGATAGGATTTTGTTATTGACAAACTATTAAAGAAGCACAACTCATGCCCAGGTGGGCTGCTTGTGAATAGAAACCACTGAACCCAGGGCAGCTGGCATGGTGATAAACGCCTGAGCATCACCGTTGGGGAGGTGACAGCCCATGGGCCCCACTCTTTGTGCATCCCCCCCAGCTGTGTCACCCCAGCAAGAGAAGGGATGCAGCCAAATCTAATGCTTTTAAAGTGCTTTCAAAAACGCTCTCATATAATACCGATGTATTGCAAGGAAATGGCTGCTGCTCGATGACCTAACCGGTGAAAAAAGTTAGAAACCCAGGCAGCTATTTAAAGATAACCAGATCTGCGGGTACAAATCACATCCTCTTTCCAACAACAGCCACGCTGCACGTTCCAAATCAGCCCTGCAAAGTGTTCTTTAAACAGGCCTTGTAAATTGTTTGGCAGTTGCCTAGATTTAAACAGCTTATTTTGATGTTGGTTTGTATGGACACGCTTTGTTTTCCTAAAGAGAACTCATAGCTCACCATTGGAGTATGTTGACACAACCAACCTAAAGATAACGCTTACCCTGTGTTTGGCACTTCTTTTTGCCAGGCAGTGACACAGTTTTTATTTATGCCCATTAATTTAAGAAGTTCTGTATTTTCAAAACAATTCCTTGGACTCTTTACTGTTTATGCAGTTCTGCCCTCATTACTCATCACCTCTGTCAATAACAGTTCTCCACTTCTGATGGAAATACCATCTCCCCAAGACTGCTGGAGGTTTTACCTGTTTTATTAACCCCTGAAGGAGCCCCATGCCTGTTCTGTGTGACCAGACCTGCTGCTTCAGGCCTCTGCTCCAGTCGCCCTGCGGCTGATGCACCATCTGCATCCCCGTCAGCACGCACAGAGATGAAGATAGTTGTCAGCAAGGAAGCCACATTTGCTTTCTGTCCTCCTAGTTGTGTTCAGGGAGCACAAAGGCAGCAGAATGCAAAAGCTGCCCAGCATTTTCCTTAGAAATGTCATTGTTTAACATTCTTCTATTTTTTCGAAGCACGCACACGCACAAAAAACCAAATTCTTATTTATGTGTCAGTGTGTTTGAACACTACCCCAGCTTCCCGAGAAGAATTTTGGGGATGCTGATTGCTATCAGATCGCCTGTTCTTCAGACAGCCCCAAACACAGCAATGACTAATGCCCTGTGAGCAGAGGATGAGCACAGACATGCCCAAAGCTCCCAGAGAAGCTGAGCCTGGAGGGACCAGGCTTAAAACCACAGTCCAGCTAAGGTCCATTCTCTCTCTGAAAGCCTAGCTTTCAGGAATGTCACAGGTCAGACACTGAATGTGGATTAAGGAGCTGGGATTGGTGCCTTTGCACCTCCTTTTGGAGGATGCTATGTGCCTCACGTAATGTTCAAAGGGCTGCAGTTCTGGCTTTGGGCTGTGCCATATCAGACTAAAATATATCTCAAGGATTTGATGCTGTTTCCAAATCTTTCAAAGGGCAAGGAAGTAAAACGCCGGCTCCCGTTCTCTAGCTGGGCATCACAGCAGCGTTACTACTGGAGCTCGTCTAACAGAGGAGAAACTCAAGAGCTCAAGTGCCAAGAAGGTAGATACAAATCATGGCACAAATCATGTCTCAGAAGCACCGGGGAAAGCTGAGGAACATGCTGATGAGTCATTTCACATGCAGATTAATTTATGGTAACATGGGAAAAGGAACTAAAGCCTCAGCTTGAGTCTGAGGTAGGCGAGAGACCACTCGTGTAACTTGGGATGCTGGTTTGCTCCTCGGAATGTGCTGGGAGGCAAGTGCCAGGCAGTCATGGCACGGGGGGGGCCTAATGCAAATTAAAATGTTTGCAACACATTCGGTCACATAAGAATAGGAGAGGTTGTGACTAGTGAAATATTCTGCTGAGTAGCCGTGTGCCTTACCCAGTACTTAACCACTAACCCTTCTCAATTACCCATCAGATAGCTAAGATTATAGGCCTGAAGGTTCAGCCCCTGGATGCCTGAAGTATGCATTGTGTCTTGATACGGGGGTTTTCTAAAAAGGCAGCATGCTGAGACAGAAAAATATAGAGTGGATTTACAATATTTTCTAAATACCCTATCAATTATAGATCAAGAAAAACAGAGGTAGTCCTTTTATAGTAACAAAGAATCTTTCATATGCTGCAGCTTGCAGATATCCCGAAATCATGGCAGGCAAACTTAGAGAGAACTCAGACACTGGAAGTAAAAAAGTGAGAGTAATGGGAAACACAGCTTGAACTGATATAAAATTCAGTTTAAAAAAAAAAATCCAATCTGCTTTTAATCAGTAGGTAATATTCAGAAAGATCACAGTGCAGTGATGGGTTTGGCATAGCCCAAGGGGGAATTGTGTGAAGGGATCCTGGATTATTTTTACCTTCTGCAGTTTGCCACAGCTGTTCTCCCTGCTATGTACTCTCTTTCAAACTCCTAAGAAGCTCTTTAGAGAATAGTTTTGGGTTACAACTAATGTGAAAGAACCATAGTGCTCTCTCTGCTCAGCTGAATTTCAAGTAAGGAAAAGAAAAACCTCAATTATAACTCAATGCTGATTTCTACTTCTAAGGATCTGAAAAGTCCGTGGAGATCTTTCAAACAACCACAGAAGCACTGTGCATCAACACTGGCTTTAAGTCTTAGGTATGGCTAAAGCAGAACTATAAAACATTTTCAGTAAGTACTGGTTTTAGGAAACAGCATTTTGAAGTAATGCTTTTTTTTTTTTTTTTAATGCAGCTACATGATAAATTCAGAGCACCTGGAACATGAAATAGCTCTTTGTACCCCAAATATTTTAACATAAATTCTATCTATTAATTATGTGTCATTTACTGTCAGTGGTGTGACTCCTGAGGGACTGTCATGACCCTAAGTGCCTTTGGTGACCAAAGTGACCCAGGTGACCTGGGCTTCTTCCTTGGCAGGCCATGAGAGATACTGTGACGTGGAGCTCTTT